CCGTTCCGGACTGTTGTTTGATCCCCATGGTTCCCGGGGGGGATAAGTGGCGACTTTGAACCTCGGGTTGATCTGTATTTCTCTGACATGTTCCGAATAATATGAAGTCCATATACCTCGGCTATTTACGATACCCTTAGTTTTCACGAGTTTACAAAAAAAAATTATTTTCCGACTTGAGGGCAACATAAGTTTTTTTTGGGGCCTAATATATCTGTCTAATTTGACAAGTGATCGCCATTTTGGTTTGGTCAAATGAACCTATGTATAAAGACGTAAATTATGGTGGATGGCTGCATACGTAGGGTCTTACACTATTTGTATTCATTGATATTTTCAATTAAATCAAGACAAATAACATATTCTAATACTAGGTATACAATATTCCTATTCTTCACATACCTGTAAACAAATTTTCACAAAAAATAATGATAATAATTGTATTTACTAATTAATTAATTAACCACATGTTTATAAATGACAATATTGTTACGATCAATATACACATGCTTGAGTCTGTAAATAATTGCCCGGACATATCTCCCCAAAAGCTGAAAAATTCAAAAACCCTAAAAAAAAAGAGTTAAAATCGTTTGGGGTTCCAAACAAAAATTAGTATCCAGGGACGGAAACAATACAATTTAAACAAATTTGTCAAATAGTAATGGGCAATACTGTTTTAATAAGCGAGGTGTTTTATCATAGTAATGACCTATACTCAACAAATACAGGTTCAGTGTAGGACGATAATTTCAGTGAAATTAAATCAATCTTCGAGTTTTAATTTATTGAATTTTATCGCGCTTTTATTGTTTGATTTACTTCATGAACACGGTCAAGTGCATACGTCAAGACATTGGTATTCTAAAGAATATAGTGTTGTGTATCCCATATAATCAAACAACGCATCAATCTCACAACTGTAACCTTGACATCCGGTACGACGGTATTCCACGAAGCTATAAGATTCCACGAAGCGTTAAGGTACTCTTCTATCAATAGGAACTCTTACATGGGAGATGATAGAAAAACAGTGCTAATTAATTAATATACTAAGTATATTAAAGTTTTTCTTCGTTTTGTGTTATATACTTTGTTCAGCTATGGTGTCAAATATGATTTTAAAATACTTTTAATATTAATCTCTCATTCCCCTGTAGATTTTTTTCTGCAAAAGTTTCCCTGTGTAGATTTGGTTTTCTGAATCTACCATTTTCCTCCCCGAGTTTGTAATTCGTGAACCCCAAGTTCATCGCTGTATATGTGTACTTCATGCACACCAGACTCAGCTTCAGTCAACCGCGAGTAACAAGCGCTGGCGTCGTGGCATATCACATGGCGCTATTGCTGACCAAATATGGGTACACTTCTCGATTACTCTCGCTAAATGAACAACTATACAAAACACTTTCTTCGAAACACGGAAGTCAAGATTGATTAAAAAACTGAAATTTGTGGAATTTATTATAGCTTATTATATCATGTTAAACCTAGTTACGTAATTTTTCTGTGCGTTTCACAACTCTTAGTGTGCAAGCACATCTCAACCAATGAACCGATAATGAAGATAAAGCTTCTCATTAACATGCACGTTTCCCGTCATCATCACTCGGCGAACGACCCTCTTCCGGTTAACCTCATCTGTCGAACGACCCTCTTCTGGTCATCACCACCTGCCCGATGACCCACTTCTGTCATCCTCACCCGCCCAACGACCCTCTTCCAGTCATCCCACCTGCAAAATGATCCTCTCCCCGATTATCACTACCTTTCAAACGACCCTCTCCCTGGTCCTGGGCCCCATCACCTGGTAAACACTTGTCAGCCCCCCCCCCCCTTCCCGCGATCATCAGTTGTGTCAAAGGCGTAGCTGATATGAATAAGAACAACACCGAATTCGCCTTCCTCGTGCTAAAAAGCATTACATTTCTGGGGTTCGTGGAATCGATTGGTAAGCAATGTGTATATATAATCGAACTAGGTTTCATTGCTACGTCCGGTGTCATTGAATGTATTCCACGAAATCATTCGGGTTGAGTGATCATTCTGACAAATTGAATAAATCGTGTGAAACGTAATCGTGGCGAGCTAATACGAAAGTTGATTTGCATCGAGAGTTATTTCGGTACTGTGAAAAACTCGTCGGGGGGGGGGGGGGATTCATGAAGTCTCCGACATTTCTCTCTCATGAGCATCAGCCAATCACAATTAACAAACCTATTTTCTACCTATTTCGTGCTGATTACTGTATATGATTCTTATGTTTTGACCAAATTGCCCTGTGATATACCCGCAGTTCCCTGTCTTCGAATTTGAACTGCGCCCTCAGTCGATGGTTCAAGTCTAAGTAATACCGTTATATACATTTAATTTAGCTTTATATATTAGAACACATATAATTACAGTTATCAGAGATTTGAAATTTTTAATTTAGGCTCAGTTCAGCATATGTTTCACCAATTACACTTTCTTACACTGTAAAACGTGTCTTTTTAGCTAGCACGTTATTTTAGTTAATCCGCAATTCCGTCATAATTAAAATGTCGCTAATTAGAATAGAGTATATTCTCACAGCGAGATTGTTGGCACTTTAGCTAAATTAAGATTCAGTTAATTCGTGCATTGAGTCAAATTCGCTAAAATGGTATGTAGCTATTTCAAAGTGTTTCATAGTATAGTCTGTTTGTCTTTGTGTCCAACTTCCCAGCGAGACGTGCCCTTTCTACTCCCGGGATGAACCCGCGGGATCTGCAGTACATGCCTGAAATGTTTGGAATAGGTTCTTGGTTATTGAAGGCAATATTCGGGGATTACTTGCTTCGTAGTCTTGTGTAGAAGTATAATTAGATTGTGTGACGCCAGAACATTCTGACACGTACGCAGTTACTTTTAGTCGCACATCAAATAATAAAACACCTAAGAGAACTACCGCTCACCGTCTCCCTCGTATAGACCACCTCGGCCCCTCACTGTTTTCTCATTTAACGTGGATGCTATTTTACGCCAATTGGCGCACTGCATTACTTCATCATAATTCAGTTAAATAAGGCGATTGTGACTTATCTCACACCGTCGCCCGTCTTTGTGCGACTTTTCTCACAACCATACAGTGTCATCCTTACATTGCAGCTGACATTGTACGTTGGTACGACAGTCAGTCCGGGATATCAGACCGCACGCCCTCAATGGCGTCAGACTTGCATACAGGTGTTTATTTCGCGTTAACCCGGCTTTCGTCATTTATACACTCCCATAATTTGTTTATTTTATTGAAACAACACCTGTCCAACAAATTAACAAAAGACTGTATGCAAGTTCGTGGGAACTGTGGTAAGTCTAAGATGGTGTACCAGGTTAGGTCACGTGATTTAGTGTATAGTACCGAAAGAACGAGTTTCTCAATGACTGTTGCCATTTGACCCACCGTGCACACAGGCTTCATCCAACGCTGGTCAGACGTCTTACGCAAACGATTATGAATGTACAGCATAGGTATGTAATTTCCACTAATTACATGTATAGGTGCGGTCTGCATAATCTTAGTCGTGATATTTGTGCATATTAATTATTATATCAGCGTATGTAACAATATATGGTATACGCCAACTTGTAAATAACATATACTTCATAGCTTTTGTTTGAAAAAAATAAAATAATACCCCATACTCGGCAGTAGTTTTCAAGCTGATGGGCCATAATATGACCACCAGCTTACAGAAAGGCTAATTAATACATTTTATTTCTTTAATCTGTTTTTTTTTACAATATGTTTTGTTCACCTACAAACCGCTGCGTGTAACCATTTCCTACAACTGTTTATTCTGTAACACCAATTATTCTTCTAATTATCCAAACTTAAAATACTAATAACAAATAATATAAAAAAATATGCTTGCACCATGATAATTTTTTAAAATAAATGTTCGTTGTTTACAGAAAACCAAGGGGAATGACGTCAGTGAAATAGACTTTCACTAAACAGAGTAGCAAATACTATATTTACCCGAAAATCAAACTGAGATAATTATTTACATATTTATTTTCATCTTGCTAAATGGCTACTAAAAGACACAGCAAAGTATATCTCTTTAGAATCGCGAGGCACCACATTTTTTACAAATGTGATATACGTGTTTGTATCTTTATTCTGTGATGAGTGACACATTCAAAAAGGGTTACTTTTTTCTGTTAAAAAGATATAAAAACGCGTTTGTATGAAATTCAAGATACAATTTTAGTCACATTGCTCCAATTGTCGACTTGCATTTAGTTATGGATTTAATAAAAAAACACTGTGATCTGAGGACTACAAATTCACAAACTTAAAACCCCATCAAAAAAGAAAGTTGCTAAATTATGTTGCAAGCAGTATAACAAAGCCTTTTCGGTGAACAGCTCCGTTGACTGCACCACCGGGACGCACTCCGAACTGTTTGCGATGATAACTTCCGAGACTTTCGCGGGTTCATGTTTCGATTTGGTCTGTCCTTGGTTCATGCCACCTACTGCACCTATCAACCAATCACCGTTCGTAGCCTATGGAGTTCCAATTAGTGGTATGAGCCCTGAATCCTTCCTGCATGTCGATGTGTAAATCACGAAGTTGATTCGGAAAACTTCGTACGTCCTCGTTTTGTTAATCACTCATCCGGGAACTTCGACTACCTCTCACCCTTTTGCACACGTCACCTTCAGCTCACTCTCCTCCATCATTATCCGCCATGTTGCATGCAGTTCGGAGGTGTGCGGGGCAGGCCTTGAAGGCCTCAAAACCGGCACTTATTCAACAAACCGCAACTAAAACAGCTCTCAGGTCACTCCCAGCAACATTCTGTGCAAGTAAGTGGAAAGTGAATGTGATTATGTGAGGTATTTTTTGATTTTGTTGCAAATGTCTGTGTGTCCCTTCTTGGTCGTGTGACCGGCTTTTTCAACTATTGCCGCATGCAATCCTGACCTGTGCACGTAATTGCAAAATCTGTAATTTACTCAATAAAATTGTCTATCCCGCATAATTTCTGCTATTAACGTTATTCCTCAAATTGTTCCCTTCAATTTAAAAGTGGTCTTCTGTCGCTTGTTTTAACTTATTTTAAAAAAATTGGCTGCTTGTGTTGATAGCAATTTGCATACTGGCCCTCGTATCAGTGTTTGAGTGTACTGCAATGACGAGTATATAGAATAAAATTGTATAATTTTAGTTAGCAGTCAGTCCTAGAAGTAGAAATATTGATTTGAGTATTAAATAAACTGTTAATTTGAGTATTAGAAAAACTCTTATTTGATTTTAATACTCGAATTGACTAACGTTGAGCGCCATGGATGTCCTCGTGGGACCTGTGCGATAAAAGTTGGAGCAATTAAATGCAGATTCATGGTTAACTGTGATATATAAAGAATACTGTATTACAGTTTGCAAATGTGTACGTTGTGTAGGTCAGAAATAAAATGCCATAGCGTAACTATGGACTTTTTGCAGGGAGACATTATGCTGCAGAAAAAGCACAGGCAGCTGCACAGCCAGCAGTGGGAAAAGTGGTTGCAGTCATTGGTGCTGTTGTAGATGTACAGTTTGAGGACAATTTACCACCTATGCTTAATGCTCTTGAAGTAGTAGGTAGACAGCCAAGGCTTGTACTTGAAGTGGCACAACATTTAGGTAAGTGATCGACGATAATTGACTCAGTTGAAAATATTAGCCCTGTAATGAGTTGATGTGGATAGCACATAATGCTGTTGTATTTTGAGCATTATACAAGCTGATGATGATAAAACAATGTCCCTTACAGAAACAATTATTTGTTGATAAAAAATTGAATTCCTCGTTACTGAAGCTTGTTTATGAATATTTTATGCGACTCGTTGAAGCATCAACTGAGAGGTTTATTGGGCTAATCTCAAAGTAAAGTACATTTCTTGCAATAAACCTAGTAACTAGATGCTGTAGTTGTGCGTTAACAGAAACTGTTTCACAATCCAGTTGACGTGTAGTTGTATATTGAATCAGACTTTCATGAAGTCTGATTGAATATTACCTTGATGCATGTTAATTTTGTATAAAACCTTTGTTTTCAGGTGAAAGTGTATGTAGGACAATTGCTATGGATGGTACAGAAGGTCTTGTCCGTGGAAATAGCGTTACTGACACAGGTTCTCCTATTAAAATACCAGTGGGACCAGAAACCCTAGGAAGAATTATAAATGTTATTGGTGAACCAATTGATGAAAGGGGTCCAATACCGACAGACAGGTATAGTTGGTGTTGTATAGTTGAAGTGGCGTTTCGTGGCAAATCTGTAAGATGCTTATAGTAATCCAAGCTGATGCAAAGTCTGTGTTCCTTGCTAAATGGAGTACAGTGTTCTTCCTGAAGTGTTTTAGCACAGCGTGGCCGCTACTATAATTTATTCTGCTATTCACGTTACACATAAAAAAATGGAATTAGCACTTGCTAGCAGACTGAAAGGAAGTATGAAGCTTGGTTTTTGTTGTGTTCAAAAGTAGAAAGCAAATAAACATGACGTACTAGACTAGATGTACTGAGAAAATTTTCTGGCGAGAAAACTAGTATACATGTTAAAAATAGTTTTTGACTCCCATGTGCGAAGCACAAAATGGGAGTCTTTGCAGTTAGTGTGTGTGTGTATGTGTGTCCGACTGTTCCACTGCTATCTCAAGAACCATACATCGGTTTTTGATGAAACTTGGTGCATAGATGCTCTGGGCCAATGCGCAGATTTGATTAGGTTTTGGTAAAAATCCATGCTCGTTAATTACCTAATTTGCATGATAATTAGCTAATTTTTAGCTGTTCTATGACTGTTCCACTGATATCTAAAGAACCACTCATTGGATTTTGATGAAACTTGGTACATAGATGCTCTGAACATATGCGCAGATTTGATTAATTTTTGGTAAAAATCCGTGCATATTAATTACCTAATTTACATGATAATTAGCTATTTTTTAGTGGTTCCATGACTGTTCCACTGATATCTAAACAACCACTCATTGGATTTTGATGAAACTTGGTACATAGATGCTCTGAACTAATGCTAGGTTTTGATTAGTTTTTGGTAATAATCCGTGGATACTAATTACCTAATTTGCATAATGATTAGTCAATTTTCGGTTTTTCCACTGATATCTCAAGTACTAATCATCACATTTCAAATGAAACTTGGTACATAGATGTCATACGACACTGCACAGACCTGATAGTTTTTATGGTAATATCAGTACATATTAATTACCTAATTTGCATAAT